TAATCACATCTTTAGCACCAGCTGTATAATTATAGTAGTGTTTATGGAAATAGTTTTGTCACCTAGCCTTGGTTTTCTCTCAGACTCTTCATCATCCTTTCTTCATTCAGACTGGATTTGTGCCCCCACTTGCACCCACTCCTCTGCTTACAGTCTGTGCATGAAAAGAGCCCTGTGGAATATCTCAGTGGTAGTATTTAAGGAAGAATGTACTACACCTGTGGTATGTGCTGTTTTCTGCTGTTGTTCAGTATAAATGAACTACAGTTTGTTAAGCTAAAAAGAAATACAAGAAAGGAACAGACTTCCTGTAAACTGTCGAAGCTAGCCAAAAGCAGCTCAGCAAAAGACTGCACATTTCATTGTCGGCTATAACCTGTGTTGCTCTTTGCTGTCACTGCTGTCAACTGCTTTCAGCTATTAACAGTAGTTTAATAGATGATGGTGATCATCATCATACCCTGCAAGATATATTGGTTAAATAGGTAGCGACTTTTGCAACCATACCAGGCACCACTAAATTAAAAATAATGATATGGTTCCCAAAAGCTATGCAATAAGCAAATTGCCAAAGTTACAGTTATTTCCCCTTTCTGCTTGTCTTTGTTTCTGCTTTGGAAGCTTCCACAAGAGAGCTAACTAATGCATCACGTGCTTTAGCTCCTGGGAATGCTCTCTCCATGAGCTGTATGCTCAGTATCCAGCTGTGAAGTATTTGACCATCTGCTGCTATTTCTCCAGGTTATGCTTCTAAAGCTTCCCTGCAACTGTTAATTAAATGAAGAAAGCTAGTTGCCAGAAGACACCTGACTAAAGTAATTGGTCCTTTAATTGCAATTAATTTTTTATGGATAGTGCCAAAAAGCAAATAGAACAGCCCATAAAACAAATAAGTCTTAGTCAGACACGCACAAAAGAAATGGGGGAAGTGCCCAGGACCTTCACCTCAGTTTTCTTATTTCCTCCTTGCCAGTAACTGCCAGTAAAGATTCTATAGCTCAGCAGTTTGGGTTAGACAGTCCTAACTGCTGAGTGGGACAGGAAGGAATATAGAAGATGGAGAACTTGTAAACATACCAAAAAAGTGCAAATGCTTTGATACTGATACTGCTGTACTGGCTGCTCTGAGTCATGGTGCTTTGTATTTAAGAAAATGAACAAAGAAGCCAAAGGTCTCAGAATGAAGTGATTAAAACCCATGATGATGGAAAGTATAATACCTGAACTTGAAATCACTTGGAAGACAGAACCTATGCAGTAATCACTCCTTGTCTTAGCTATTTGATTTTGAAGGTCTTCAGTTGACTTGCTGTACCCATTGAAAATATAGTTGGCAAAAAGCAGCTTTCCTTGAACGTGCATCTGCCAAAGAAGAGAACAAAAAATTGCAGAATTGGCAAGAGCAGCCTCTTATTCTAAATGAAGAGGGTAGGTTGAGAAACAGAGAAAGAAGGTTGTTAGGTAGCCTGTCTTACAACTTTGTCATGGATTACAGCTTTCACCAATAGGGACTTTGTTGTATAAAATACTTTATTGCATTGAAGAAATTAATAAATGACACTCGTATTTGTCTGTCCCTCCCAAGGTTTCAGAACACAGCATACTGGAGTGTATAAAACAGCACTTTGATGCTGCTTCATGGACTGCCAAAACCCACCACCCTTCATCCCAGTGATGTTTCAGTTTAGATATGGCATAACATGACATACTTAAAGATGAACACAAATACATTAGGTATAGGAATGAACAGCTGTGGGTTGGTTGGTTTTTTTTTCTTTGTGTATATTAACTAAATGGTTTTTATTCATTTTCTTTTGTTTTACCAAGAAGGTAAAAGAAGGAAACAGAAGTAAAATTTCCTACTCCTAAACTTTTATAAGTAGCAATGAACCTTCCTGTTTAAATGCTTTATCTCATTGGAAACAGTTTTCTAGAAAAGAAAGGTGACCAAGGTCATTTGGCAAGTGATTGTAAATGTACAGGAATCAACTAGGCCTGAGGTCTGAGGTCATAACGATTTAAAATGTGGTCAAAATGTGATGCTTCAGCAATATTCCCTCCCTGGAAGAGTAAATCAGGAGACTAAAGCTAATTCAGAGCTGTTCAGAAAGATCCCAAATCATTTTCCAACTCTATTTGCACAATTTCAAACTTGCCTTTGATTCTGAAGGATGTTTCATGGAGTCTCAATCATTTGCATGTTTCCCAAGGTTGGCACTTGAAGATATTATCATGACATCCTCAACAAAACAGGTGAGTTAAAAGCGAAATTCTCTTTTGTGCTAGCACTTAGAATTCTTAAACAAGTCAAATTAATGATGGATTTTGTAGCAAGACCTCAACAAATGCAAGGAGGCAGCCTTATGGATTTTTAGAGAATTTATACTGGGTTTGGATCTGTTTGTTGGGTTGAGTCTTTTGGCTTTAATGTTCCCAGACTCAAGATTACCAGAGCAAGTTCAAGAAGGGATAAACACTTTTCCAACACATTGCAAAGACAGTTCCAAACAGATATAACGTATGGGTGATCTCAGAATTAGGGATTGAAGAAAAGCCTGTTGAAATATTAGACATAAGAACTGAGGTGAGAGCATCAGCCTTTTCTCAGTCAATAAAGAAACAGTGATATAGTTGGGCCTGATTCTCACTGGCATGAAGGCTGGTGTCACTGTTCTAGCAGTGTAGAGGAGCCTTTGTTTCAGTGAAAATTGGCTTCACTGAATTTAGAACTATAAGAATCATTTAAGCCGATGTATTGTCCAAAATTGCTTGTGTTCTGGGATGTTCCCAGTGCTATACAATTGGAAGCATCTGGCTTATTTCATGGAAGCTCTCAGCATGCAGGACTCCAAGTCAAGACATTTAGAATACCTCAGGGTAATGCTTATTCAAGTAACAATGGATGTGTTCACTAGAAGAAAATCCAGAGGACCACTGAATTGTCTTCATCTTATGCTCACATGTATTCATCTGTAATATAACCAGTAAGGAACATGACGTAGAACACTGCTTTTGTTTGTGGGGAACTGAGAGGGGAAAAAGAACATTTTACATCATGCATTTTTCAGTTTTATAGGCAAAAGTTATTATGATGGCACAGTTTTACTCAGCTCCAAAATATTTTTCTTCCAGTCAAGCAGCTTGCCTCATTCCTATGAAGAGCTCTATTTACCTAAGTGTGAGAGGAGCGCTCACAGCACTGCAGGTTTGCAAGTGATGAACAGTTTAATACATGTTACACTATGACACAGACCCTAATGTTTCCGCTCCCTTGTTTAAATCCGGCATTGTGAACAGCATCAGCATCACAACAAAGGGAATTCTGTAAGTTCTCCTTAAGGTACAGATTTGAGTGTATGTCAGCATGTGGAAATGCATTTGGCCTCAGCTACTGATTCTCTGGCTACATGTACCCTTTATGTCTGTGTGTTTTTCCCTTGAGGCAAACTGTTACTCATTTGTTCTGACTTTCCTCACTCTTGATTTTCCTATTCTCATTCCAGTTTCTTCCTCGTACATATGTTTCCTTTCCTGCTTCTTACTTTTTTCATGATCAATGCCTCACCTTGCTTCCTATAGCTGGTCTTACTTCTCTATTATATTTCTCCAGATCCTCCCAGTCTGACCTCCAGTCTCTCATACTTCTGTATGTCTCTATTATCATTCTCCCTCAGTTCTGCATGCTCTTTCCTTGCATGTGGTGGGAGCACAGAGAATGAGAGAAGAAACCTCCCGCCACCTCCAGCCCAGCTTACTGCTTACTCTGCTCCATATGCTTTGTGCTTTGGTTTGGTCATCATTCCTTAGTCTGTTCCAGCTTTTGGGTTCCCCATACAGATCATATGAATTAGCTTCCTCTTGCTGCTGCAAGCCCTTATGTGTGGTGTTATCCCATGTAAGTGCCTTTCACTTCCACATGGATGAGGAAGCAACACACACTTGTCTCATGTTGGCTTTGTTTAACCACTGGCATTATCCTACCACCAAAATGTGGTGGGGTGCATACCAGTTCTATTTCATTTACAGCTCCTAGTGTTTCAATGTGGCTAATAATGAAAACTCCAACAAGCAATAGGGAAGGAACCTTTGGCTACTGTGGGATTGCCTTCAGAATGTTTTGAAAATAACACTGCTATTCTCAGATACATATGTTCTGTAATTGTACATGAAGAGGCTGATAGAAGGGGTAGATAAATCTATTCCAAAGATGATCTGACACATGAATACACAATGCGTTGAAACTTTTCTAAGGGAATATAAATGAGACAGCTGCCTCTGGCAATCCCCATTGCTGTCAGAAGCTTGTAGCCCTCTCCATTACAATTCACCTGGTTAACTCTGTGATGTTATGACATGCAGGAATTTCATTATTCCTTCCACCACAAGCAATAAATTTGTGCCTTCAAGCATAAAATTCGGGTATGTTTGAAGCTTTGCTTTGCCTGCATAACACATAAATGTTACCAGTCAAAGTTTCCCAGTGTTTTTCAAATTCCTGTCACTCCCATTATGGCATTCTGCAGCATGTGACTTTCACAGGCTGGAATTTTATGCCATGAATAAGAACTTTTATCTTCTATGGGGTATCTTTCTGGCTTGTTCACTTCTAAAACACCAACAAGGAAGTTCATTAGTGAGCAGCTCTGGATGTCAGCTTTTCTCAGTACGTATAAACTGGCATAGCAAAGCTCTTCTACTGGAGTAAATTTAAACCAGAGTGGTTCAAAACCCAAGTCTTCACTGAAACCCAAGGGATATATTTGGATGGCGGCATTTTAGAGTGGGGGAAGGTTTTTTCCTCCTCTCGGAACTAAACATAGTTCTGGCAAATAGCCTCAGACTGAAATTCTTGAGGGAGTCATAATAAGCAAGCCAGGGCAAAGAGGGATGTTTTTTCTCCCTGACTAGCTCTTCCCCATAAAAAGGTGAAAGGTCAAAGATGAACTTTAATACTAATGAAATTGTGAACTTCAGAGCAGTCATTTGTCAGAACATTAAAAAAAAGTCAAAATAAAAATGTTTTATTATTGGCAACAATAGGTTGGGTTTATAAGCATATATATCTCTGCCCTGATTCCTTTTAGGCTTTGAGAGAAAGGGAACTTTGAGTTATTAAACACAGACATTAAGCAATCCACAGTAGGGGTTTTGGGAGTTCAGCCCATACTTTTCCCCTTATGTGCCCTTCTGAATCTTTCCAGCTGACTGAAGGAGCAAAATAGGGCTGTCTGCAAGTTATCACAAGTTCTTCTCTCCTGTCTTTTTTGACCAAGATGGTCATTCTCGAGGTTAATTTCCTTCTTCCTTCTGTCTAGGAATATTTCTTGCAGATTAGCAAACTTCATATGTTCTTATTATAGAAACAGTTCTGTTGATTCAAACTGCCCCTTAGAGAAGCAGCTTGACAGATTCATGTGTATATGTGCACGTACATTCAAATGCTCAAGTAAAAATGTTTTCTTACGCTGAAGTTCATTAAATTTAATCTCCAGATTTAATGAAAACTTTGTTATCTGTTTGGGTTTTTTAGTACCACCCTTCTTGGGCTGGTAGTGTACCAACAAGATGGTTGCATTGTCCTTCTCACGGTATAGATTATCTGTGCTGATGATGACATACAACTCGTAATCATTGTGGGGTGTGCTAATAGGAATCTAGCCTGTGAAATATAAAGTATAACTTGTAAGTTCAGCAATACTGGAGTGGTCAAATACATATCAACCAGCAAGAATCTTCAGGAAAGCAAGCAGAATGACCAGAGCTCCAGAAAATATGACCTATAAAGAAAGATGTGGATTTCCTTGATTTCAGTAAGGCATTTGATACTGTCTCCCACAGCATCCTCATAGATAAGCTAAGGAAGCGTGGGCTTGATGATCAGGTAGTGAGGTGGATCAAGAGCTGGTTGAAAGGAAGAAGGCAGAGAGTTGTGGTCAATGGTGCAGAATCTAGCTGGAGGCCTATGACTAGCTGGAGTACCTTAGGGGTTGGTGCTGGGACCAGTGCCGTTTAATATTTTCATCAACGACCTGGATGAGGGAACTGAGTGTACCCTCAGCAAGTTCGCTGATGACACTAAACTGGGAGGAATGGCTGACACACCAGAAGGCTGTGCTGCCATTCAGCGAGACCTGGACAGGCTGGAGAGTTGGGCGGGGAGAAATTTGATGAAATTCAACAAGGGCAAGTGTAGAGTCTTGCATCTGGGGAAGAACAACCCCATGTACCAGTACAGGTTGGGGACTGACCTGCTGGAAAGTAGTGAAGGGGAAAGGGACCTGGGGGTCCTGGTGGATAGGAGGATGACCATGAGCCAGCAATGTGCCTTTGTGGCCAAGAAGGCAAATGGCATCCTAGGGTGCATTAGAAAGGGTGTGGTTAGTAGGTCAAGAGAGGTTCTCCTCCCCCTCTATTCTGCCTTGGTGAGGCCGCATCTGGAATATTGCGTCCAGTTCTGGGCCCCTCAGTTCAAGAAGGACAGGGAACTGCTTGAAAGAGTCCAGCGCAGAGCCACAAAGATGATTAAGGGAGTGGAACACCTCCCTTATGAGGAGAGGCTGAAGGAGCTGGGTCTCTTCAGCTTGGAGAAGAGGAGACTGAGGGGTGACCTCATCAGTGTTTACAAATATGTAACGGGTGGGTGTCAGGATGATGGAGCTAGGCTTTTTTCAGTGATATCCAGTGATAGGACAAGGGGCAATGGGTGTAAACTGGAGCATAGGAGGTTCCACGTTAACATCAGGAAGAACTTCTTTACTGTGAGAGTGACAGAGCACTGGAACAGGTTGCCCAGGGGGGTTGTGGAGTCTCCCACACTGGAGATATTCAAGGCCCACCTGGACAAGTTCCTGTGTGATGTACTCTAGGTTACCCTGCTCTTGCAGGGGGGTTGGACTAGATGATCTCTTGAGGTCCCTTCCAACCCTTGGGATTCTGGGATTCTGTAAAGGTTGTGTAACCTGTGCTTGTTTGGTATACAGACATGATCTCTGAGTGTGGGAGTACAGTTATGGGAGACAGAAGGGACATAAAAATATGACCTGCTATAGAAAGAAAGAGAATGGTCTGTTTTCTATGTCTATGATGAACAGAGCAAGAAATACCGGGCTTTAACTACAGGAAGAAAAGATAAAATAGGAAAAACTGTCAAGCAATATGAGCGTAAAGCACTCAGACATATTTTTGTGAGGATATTGTGGCTTCTTTATCACTAAGTCTTTATAAGCAGGTTAAGCAGCAAGAGTGGAATTCACTTCACTGACAGCTGAATCCAATGGGAGAGAAACAGGTACTTCCAGCGTGTGATTCATTTGACCCACTTCCATTATACTTTGGAAGAAGACTGATTGCACTGTGGAAGTGCCTGTTTCTCTTTGAGGGCTGTGAAAAACTTTAGAAAATCAATTCAGGTCTAAAGGTCTGCTTTGTAGATGCCTACAGCTCTGTTTGGACTGTACTGCCTCTTGTTCCTGTCACCGCACTGACATCTTTGATTTTGTACTGGTGAAAATGGCGAGGCTGGTGACCTCTTGAGGTTTCCAGACTACAAAGGAAATGAAGAACGGTCATTGCAGAAGATCTGCCTAACTAAAGGCCCAGCTGAAAACAAAAGTTGCCGATTCAATAAGATGACAGTAACAAAAATTTGTTATTGTTTGATGGCTGCTTGACTAAATAATTTGGATTACTGAGTAATTTACTGTTAATAAGCAAACAGGTGTATTATCACCTCACAGGGAGCAAACCAACACCCTTCTTTAGTCAAAGAAGTCAAGAATAAAAGAAGCATAAAGATCAATTATCCTGTAAGTTCCTGACTATGGCCTTTCCAGCACAAAACTGTATGAACAGTTGCTGGGTGTATTGCTAGGTTCTATGTAAAAATAAGGGATTCCACATCCTGGGCTCATTTCATAAACATTATTTTTATTGGAGAAAAATGAGACTCCAGAGAAATCCAAACTCATGGAATGGCCTTAATGGCATGAATTCCTTCCATCCAATTGATAAGCTGCAGAATCAGCTCAAATCATTCAGTCTGTATTATAATGAATGCACTTAAGAAACTGGCAGGGTTGCAAGGCAAATGCAATTATAGAGCCCAGCCTTCCTTTAAATGTTTTGGATCCTGAGGTCAGGTGGAGTGAAACGCATTAGTGTAATTTTCTCTCACCTATTTCAGGGCAATGCTCTATTTTTCAAGGGAGAAGAATCATAGAAGCCTCATCTGTGAAGTTTCTCATACTGATAGTTTAGTTTGACTGGTACAACCAGTTATAAATGTGTACTGCCGCTTATTGCTACGTTCTCTCAATATTTTCATCCTGCAGTTCCCCTAGGAACTGCAATTCAAAAGTCACTAGTAGATTTAATGAAATCTTAATTACATTTCCCATCTCAAACCTATGTGCTGTGACACTGGCTGGGGAAGGGGAAGCTTGGGGTAGGTTAAAGTCAGACTGTGTTTCATGTGAGCTTTTCTGGAAGTCTTGTACATATTCACTTCTTAAGAGGAAAAAAATCACCGATTCTTTTGCTCTTCATCCTAGGCCTTGCGTCTATGCTTGAATGGCTGATTTCTCCACAGGTGTCTGTTGATAGGTGTGTATGACTTTCACCACTAATGGCAAATGCAGCAGGCATTACTGAGGGCAAGCCTTCTCACCTTCCCACTTGGTTTCCTTCTTATTTTCCCTCTTCTAGCTTCCTCATGCATTTGAGGGACTTCTGTCTGTGTTTCATGCTTAACAGGTTAGCAATGGCACAAGCCAGGCACACTGCTGCTTGCTGGAGAGGCCAGTTACCTTTGCTGTTATCTTGAATAAACAGAGAATCTGGACTAATGAACTGGACTCTAAACCTACCACTTTCCATCTGTGACTACATGTCCAGGCTGCAAGCGAGAGCTAAGTAAATGTATCTTTCACAGCTCAGGTTGCATTCTTTAAGCGCAGGAACACATTTCCAGACTCATGGCTCTGGTTTTGACTCTAAGTTGCCTTCTCCTCTCCATTGCATCCAGTGTCAGTCTGACACTTAAAAATGCAGTTGTTAAGAACTGTGCTGTTAGTGCTCAGTCACATCCAGAGATGATTATAGATCTAGAAATGTAATCATTCAATGGCAGTTGCTCTCAGCTAGCTCGCATGATATTTAACCATCATTCATAGATGAAAACTATATTGGCTTCATTCTTAAACTGGAACAGCAGTGTGTGTTTGCATGTGTATATATGTAAGCACACCATGCTCTGTTATTGTTAGGTTCATATGTTTGTTATCCTAGTAATTTCTTCACAAATAATGTATGATTATAAATTTGTAAACTACATAGAAAAGACATCCGCATTGGAAGAAAAAGGAATGAAAATCCTATGGGAAAGAGAACAGCAAGAATGTTTGGTGTTTGGTGGTTTTATTCTTTTAACTCAGCACAAACAATGTTTTTGAAAAGCCACTTCTTCCAAATAAAATAAAACCTTTGGTTCCCTTCTGCCTCCTGCCCCTCAAACACACAGCTCCCTAACATTTTGAAGGCACAGGCATTAAGTCCTGGCTGAAGATCTTTCGATGGGGGGGCAGGGGGAGAGAGTGGGATTGTCCATATGGCAGGAAGTACATGCCACAATCAGAGAGAAGCAACTGCCCTAGGAGCAACTAAGTTATTGTAATGCTTCTGTAAAACCGTTTGAGTCATCAAAAATAACACACAGAAAGGCGTCTAAAAGCAAAAGTTTAATATCATACAGCATTTCCTTCTTACCTAACATGTTCATTAAATCTTGAACTTTTTCTTTAAGGCCATGAACCCTTTCTCTTCAACTCGCTTGTATTTGTTTAGCTGAACAGCAGTTACGCTAGTAGGAAATTAAGGATGGACTCTGTCCTTCTAAGGGTACCAAGGGTAGCGTTTTGATTCACTAGACACAGAGGATAATTGTGCTTCATTTTGAAGTTTTTTTCCCTGATCATCTGAGGAAATTCCCACAGACCAGTGGAAATCATTTCTCTGCCTCAAGAAGAGAGCATGTATCATTAAGTGAAATTTTAATCCTACTTTAACACAGTTTGAGGAGGCCTTACCTTCCTGGGAATATTGATTTTGCTTTATTGAAGCTTTGCTAATTAAAATATATACAAAACTGTTTGATATATGCAGCTGAGACAAGGAAACTTCTTCTCATGAACTCTGTGCATTTCCCCCCCCTAATCCTTCCATTGAAGTTTAACCCTGATAAAAGCAACAACCTTGCACATACTTGTGTCAAAGCAGCTGTGCAGGATTATTCCAAAGGCTCATCTAACCCATCCAGTATCCTGTCCCTGTGAGTGCCTGGTGGCTGGAGGAGGAGTGCAAGAGCATTTAAGAGAAAACCCTATTCTTTGTGACCCGTATTAACCATAAGCAGTTAAAAATTCAGGGATTTCCTCAACCAAAAGCTGTATCTGGGCCATCACATCTGATAGCTGCCAATGGAGCTAGCGTTCAGGAATGTATCTAATGCCACTTTGAACACACTTATGCTTTTGGCCTCCACAACATCCTGTGGCAGAGTTCCACAATTTAATGATGTGCGTGAGAAAAAGAACTTCCTTTTGTTTTAAATCTGCTGCTTATCTCTTCATTGGTGCCCGACCATTCCTGTGCTTTAATAAATAGTGAGTAACTATTTCATATTCCTTTGCCACACCATTTTTGCTTTATAAAGTTTTCTTATATCTCAGCTTAATCCTTTTTGTAAGTTACCCTATTTAGTCCTTCCTTATAGAAAGAGCCATTCCATATGTATATCCTTTTATGAGATGTGGTGAACACAGTCATGTGCTGTGTCCCAGAAACTCAGGAATGTTTTAGTTACCCTTTAACTAACTTTGTGCTTGCTTTATGATCATCACAGAGCACTGATACAGAAGTTTCCAGGGATGTATCATGAATGCGTCTTAGATCTTACTTCAGTGTTAGGAGTTATTGTGTCTGTCTTTGCATCTGTATAAATGATTCTTTTTCCCCATGTAAATTACTCTGCACTTACTGAGAGGGAATTTCACACACCACCTGATTGTGCTGAGGACTGGGCAATCCTTTTGGAGCTCTCTGTGACCAGACAATCAAGTGTGACCTGGGATTTTGCCATCTCTGACACATGGGCAGCTTTTCAGAACTACAGAAAATGTAGTTACTTCGTTCTCATTGATTATTACTTCTGAATGGCAATCAGGCCAATCCCAGTTCTTCAGCAACATAAGAGAACTATAGCCTATTTTAGGTTCCAGAACTTCTGAATATTATTCAGCTTTTAAGCTGCTCTGGAAATTACTGTGGCCCTTTCCAATTTGTGACTTCTGGTAGAGATGCATTTGACAGCTTCTTATCTTTCTCCTGGTCTTTGCAAGTCACTTGTGCATGCAGATAACATAAGGAGAGCTGGAACTGCTGGGAGTTTTGAACTGCTTGAAACTGGTTTGAATTGCTACTGCTTTAGGTAGATAAAGCTGTTCTAATTGAGCATGGTAAAAGCTGCATGAATCTGAGTAGAAATTGCCTGAGGATGGGAAAACAGCAAAGGAAAACAGGTCCTGAAAACAGCAGAGAAGATTCCAGCTCCATCTTGTATAGGATGTTAACTGTATCATTTGAAAGGTCATTAGGGATTGTAACTAGATGAAATAGGCTCATACCTTGGGGACCTTTTGTTTGCTTGGATTGATTATTTACCATCTGAGAGACATTGATAGAAAGGGCTATTAACACATTCTTTTTAAAACCAAACTTCATTCTTCCTTAAACAATGGCTAGTTTCTTGTTCAAGCAAAAGAACTAGCCACCTTGCCTTTACCATTCTGTTTTTGAAAGCAGGAATTAAGACCATGCTGATAGGCTAATTAGGTTTCAGGTTTTACTCCTCATGGGTCTTTTCTGTCTCTCTGTGTCTGGGTACTGACCAAAACTGAACTTGTACTGGTGGCTAATCTTTGTAGCAGTGAATTACAGGTGAAGAAAATAAACCCCAACAAACTAAACCAAAACATGTCTTTAGTTTTAAAGCAGAAGTAGTTTGTGAGCTGTTCTAAGGGTTCATCACTGCACCAGCCACAGCAATCGCTTGTTATCCTGATTTTTCTTGCAAAAATAATAATTTCCATATGGGAATGAAAAAAATGTAACCTGGAACTGAATCACACTGCACCTCTGTAACTGGTTACCTGACTTCCTAACTGTGCTAACCAGTAACTGTGGGTCATTCATACTAAAGCATGTTAACTTCATCTTTTTCTACATGCCCTCAGTACAGCGTGTAGTTTGCAGAGGGTCTTCTCGCTTTGTCTTCTTCAGCTTTGCAAACTACATGTAGTAGGTTTGGAAGAAGTTCTGGTTTTTCTGCATTTCGTTTTTCCTAATTTTTTATATGCCTTTGCCACCAGAGAAGAAAGAAAATGTTATTGATATTACCAGGAAAAAAAGAAGCTGTGTGGTTAAGAATTTAATCTTCTTCAGGCATGTATTCTGTGGTGCGATACACAGCTAAGTGATGTCAGATAGGCTGCTGGTGTCACCCAGTGGACAGACAAGTTGATCACAGATAGCTAAGTGTCATGTACAGAAATCTTCCTTTCTGCAGGAATAGCTCATTCCTAACTGACAGAAATAGCCTTAATATTACAGTAGCTAAAATCAGAGGATATTTCAAAGCTCCTCTCTTCTACTGCCATGTCCCGTACTAAAAATGTACAGAGCAAACACAGGAAACAGTACTTGTTCCTTACTGTTATTAGGAAGTGAACAAAGAACAGTGGAACACCAATCAGTAGGTGCTCTCCCCTACTGAGAGAAAGTAACTAAAACAACCAAACTGAGCAGTGTTTGTGTCAGTGTTTACGGAAGGATGTGAGGATTATTATAAACCAATCAGAATGCAATTCTGTGCAATGGAAAACAAGACCGCATTTTCTTAGCCTAGTAGCAGCTTGTAACAGAGGGAGCAGCTTGTCACAAGAGACAAACAAGACCTGGAGAATCCTCTCTTCACAGCGTTACAACAAAAATGTATTTCAAAACACAAAACTTATTCTTTGTATGCAAAACTTCAATAGAATAAACCACCTCTGAACTAATCTCTTACAAGAAATCCTAATGTTCCCAGTCCACAAATGAAAGCTATACATTACTTAAGACT